CACAGGGACAGCTGCCACTGGGGGTACCCCCTGGAGCGACTTCCTTCGTGACGATCGCGCTAAGAGAACTTCTTTCACACCCTACGTAGCCAACCGGCGCTCAACCGTAGTTGCGGCGGAGGGGGGAAAGACAACAAACTAAACACAACAGCAACAACAACAGCAACAACAACAGCAACAGCAGCAACAGCAGCAGCAACAACAGCAACAATAGCAGCAACAACAACAACAGCAACAACAACAACAGCAACAACAGCAACAACAACAACAGCAACAACAACAGCAACAACAACAGCAACAACAACAGCAGCAACAACAACAACAGCAGCAGCAGCAACAACAACAACAGCCACAACAGCAACAACAACAACAGCAGCAGCAGCAGTAAGCAAGCAGTTCTACTGTGTATTATATATTCTAAGTTCTTTCGGTAAAGTCACGTTGAAGGGAAACAATAAAATAATAATAAAATAGTTTTAATAATAATAAAATATTTTTTAATAATAAATTATATTTAATAAAATATATATTTTTAATTTCTTTATTGTTTCCCTTCAACGTGACTTTACCGAAAGAGCTAAGGATGTGAATCACTGCAGTCACGAAAGCTTTAAATCAAAAAGTTCTACTGTGCTTTGAGATTATTGAGATTGTTTTGGCCGCTGTTGTGGTGACAGGCGCTGTCATCCGCGGCGATCCAGGTCGCTGCTGAACAACATGTCAAGTTTGTGTGTTGGCTTATTTATTTTTGTTACCTTTCGTGTGTGTACCTGCCACTACCCTCACGTGTTCCTGTTGTAACTTTTTGTCGTTGTGACGTTATCACCCCAGTGGCCCCTCCCTACTCGACATGTGTGTGAACGAAGAAGAGCTTCACAGCTCATCGGATTACTCCTTGCCAGTCGAAATAAACATTCTGATTCTGGCTGGCGCATTGAGATTATTTAAGAGTATTTATTTTTTTTGTTGGTTTTTACGGCTGTTGTGAACCGTCCAAATGATCGGAGCCAATTTGTTGAGCTCGCTATCATTTGTGACGGCGGCCAGGTCGCTTCTGAACAACAAGTTGACGAATTCTCCTGCGGAGGGATGCTGGTAGGAACGTCGGGCTGCTCGGTCAATGGCCAGGGTCAACAACAACAACAACGGAGGCACCACCACGTGGTGTGTTCCGCACAATGTGCCCGACTGTGAGGGCGGGCACAAGCCGGCGTGAGTAGGTGAAACGTTGAGTTTTATAAGGGGGGCACCACGGGGTGACCAGCCCCACCCTCCCCACCCAGCCCCTCCCCACCCTACCCACCCACCCTCCCCACCCAGCCCCTCCCCACCCAGCCCCACCCCTCCCATGTTTGGATGCACGACGGACGGACGGACACAATAATCCCCTGTGGGCTGGTGGTGTAGTAACCAGGAGGAGGTGTTCCTGAACAGTTATTATCACTCCGTGGGGCTTTGTCTGCTAGGATGAGGATGGTTTATTGTTGTTTATTGTTGTTTATTGTTGTTTATTGTTGTTTGTGTGTTGGGTGTTTACCTTTCAAGTACTTGCCACTACTCTCGCGGGTTTAATTTGTTGTTGTTGTAACTTTCTGTCGTTGTGACGTTCTTACCCCAGTGTCCCCCTACTGGACATCTGCGAACAAAGAAGAGCTTCATAGCTCATCGGATTACTCCTTGGCGGTGCAAATACAGTATTCTGATTCTGTACGAAAAGTTGTGACGGTCACGTAACACTTCAGTCCCACGTTGCCAATAGCTTATGATTAAGTCGTCGTGAATGCACTGTGCTTGTTTGGCTCGGGGCTTATTGGCATGTTAAATGAGGGCTCAATGAGCAGCGAGCGTCAGCACCCCACCAGTCTCACAGAGACAAAGATGTCCCGTGTAGCCTTCGACAGATCGTTTGGGGGGTAGGGGGCAGTGGTGTTAGAGAGCAGGAGCTCTCTGCGAAGGCTGGCACGGCACACACGAGGCAGACGGCGAGACAGCACCACCAGTGTGTAGTGTAGTGTGTAGTGTAGTGTGTAGTGTAGTGTGTAGTGTAGTGTAGTGTGTAGTGTAGTGTGTAGTGTAGTGTGTAGTGTAGTGTAGTGTGTAGTGTAGTGTGTAGTGTAGTGTGTAGTGTATAGTGTAGTGTGTAGTGTAGTGTGTAGTGTAGTAGTGTAGTGTGTACTATAGTGTGTAGTGTAGTGTGTAGTGTATAGTGTAGTGTGTAGTGTAGTGTGTAGTGTAGTGTGTAGTGTAGTGTGTAGTGTAGTGTGTAGTGTAGTAGTGTAGTGTAGTGTGTAGTAGTGTAGTGTAGTGTGTAGTGTAGTGTGTAGTGTAGTGTAGTGTGTAGTGTAGTGTGTAGTGTAGTGTATAGTGTAGTGTGTAGTGTAGTGTGTAGTGTAGTGTGTAGTGTAGTGTGTAGTAGTGTAGTGTGTAGTGTAGTGTGTAGTGTAGTGTGTAGTGTAGTGTATAGTGTAGTGTATAGTGTAGTGTAGTGTGTAGTGTAGTGTGTAGTTTAGTGTGTAGTGTAGTGTAGTAGGTAGTGTGTAGTGTAGTAGTGTAGTGTAGTGTGTAGTGTAGTGTGTAGTGTAGCGTGTAGTGTAGTGTGTAGTGTAGTGTATAGTGTAGTGTGTAGTGTAGTGTAGTGTATAGTGTAGTGTGTAGTGTAGTGTGTAGTGTAGTGTGTAGTGTAGTGTGTAGTGTAGTGTATAGTGTAGTGTATAGTGTATAGTGTAGTGTGTAGTGTAGTGTATAGTGTAGTGTGTAGTAGTGTGTAGTGTAGTGTGTAGTGTAGTGTGTAGTGTAGTGTATAGTGTAGTGTAGTGTATAGTGTAGTGTGTAGTGTAGTGTGTAGGTAGTGTATAGTGTAGTGTGTAGTGTAGTGTATAGTGTATAGTGTAGTGTGCAGTGTATAGTGTATAGTGTAGTGTAGTGTGTAGGTAGTGTGTAGTGTGTAGTGTAGTGTGTAGTGTAGTGTGTAGTGTAGTGTGTAGTGTAGTGTATAGTGTAGTGTATAGTGTGGTGTAGTGTGTAGTGTAGTGTATAGTGTAGTGTATAGTGTAGTGTATAGTGTAGTGTAGTGTGTAGTGTAGTGTATAGTGTAGTGTAGTGTGTAGTGTGTAGTGTAGTGTAGTGTATAGTGTAGTGTATAGTGTAGTGTAGTGTGTAGTGGAGTGTATAGTGTAGTGTATAGTGTAGTGTGTAGTGTATAGTGTGTAGTGTAGTGTAGTGTATAGTGTAGTGTAGTGTAAAGTGTAGTGTATAGTGTAATGTATAGTGTAGTGTATAGTGTAGTATATAGTATAGTGTAGTGTATAGTGTAGTGTATAGTGTAGTGTATAGTGTAGTAGGTAGTGTAGTGTATAGTGTAGTGTATAGTGTAGTGTATAGTGTAGTGTATAGTGTAGTGTGTAGTGTAGTGTAGTGTGTAGTGTAGTGTGTAGTGTAGTAGTGTAGTGTAGTGTGTAGTGTGTAGTGTAGTGTAGTGTGTAGTGTAGTGTGTAGTGTAGTGTGTAGTGTAGTGTGTAGTGTAGTGTGTAGTAGTGTAGTGTAGTGTGTAGTGTAGTGTGTAGTGTAGTGTGTAGTGTAGTGTATAGTGTAGTGTATAGTGTAGTGTGTAGTGTAGTGTGTAGTGTAGTGTGTAGTGTGTAGTGTGTAGTAGTGTAGTGTGTAGTGTAGTGTGTAGTGTGCAGTGTAGTGTATAGTGTAGTGTATAGTGTAGTGTGTAGTGTAGTGTGTAGTGTAGTGTGTAGTGTAGTGTGTAGTGTAGTGTAATAGGTAGTGTGTAGTGTAGTAGTGTAGTGTAGTGTGTAGTGTAGTGTGTAGTGTAGTGTGTAGTGTAGTGTATAGTGTAGTGTGTAGTGTAGTGTATAGTGTAGTGTATAGTGTAGTGTGTAGTGTGTAGTGTAGTGTGTAGTGTAGTGTGTAGTGTAGTGTGTAGTGTAGTGTATAGTGTAGTGTATAGTGTAGTGTGTAGTGTAGTGTATAGTATAGTGTGTAGTAGTGTGTAGTGTAGTGTGTAGTGTAGTGTGTAGTGTAGTGTGTAGTGTAGTGTGTAGTGTAGTGTAGTGTATAGTGTAGTGTGTAGTGTAGTGTGTAGGTAGTGTATAGTGTAGTGTGTAGTGTAGTGTGTAGTGTATAGTGTATAGTGTAGTGTGCAGTGTATAGTGTATAGTGTAGTGTAGTGTGTAGGTAGTGTATAGTGTAGTGTATAGTGTAGTGTGTAGTGTGTAGTGTAGTGTGTAGTGTAGTGTGTAGTGTAGTGTGTAGTGTAGTGTATAGTGTAGTGTATAGTGTAGTGTATAGTGTAGTGTAGTGTATAGTGTAGTGTATAGTGTAGTGTATAGTGTAGTGTAGTGTGTAGTGTAGTGTATAGTGTAGTGTAGTGTGTAGTGTGTAGTGTAGTGTATAGTGTAGTGTAGTGTGTAGTGGAGTGTATAGTGTAGTGTATAGTGTAGTGTGTAGTGTATAGTGTGTAGTGTAGTGTATAGTGTAGTATATAGTATAGTGTAGTGTATAGTGTAGTGTATAGTGTAGTGTATAGTGTAGTAGGTAGTGTAGTGTATAGTGTAGTGTATAGTGTATTGTATAGTGTAGTGTATAGTGTAGTGTATAGTGTAGTATATAGCAGTGCATGGTGTAATCTGTAGTCGACTCACTCACTCACAGATTCTCTCACTCACGGACTCACTCACGTATGGATTCACTCCCTCACGGACTCACTCACGGACTCACTCACTCAGGACTCACTCACTCAGGACTCACTCACTCAGGACTCACTCACTCACTCACAGATTCAATCACTCACAGACTCACTCACGTATGGATTCACTCACTCACAGACTCACTCAGGACTCACTCACTCAGGACTCACTCACTCACGGACTCACTCATGTATGGATTCACTCACTCACGGACTCACTCACAGACTCACTCAGGACTCACTCACTCACAGATTCACTCACTCACGGACTCACTCATGTATGGATTCACTCACTCACGGACTCACTCACAGACTCACTCAGGACTCACTCACTCACAGATTCACTCACGCATGGACTCACTCCCCCCCCTTCCCTGCCAGAGAATTCGGGTCCACTTGGGGTGATCCGAGGAGCCGAGTGCATGGTGCAGCAGAGAAGACCTGGGGGTCTCATGCCTACACACGCACACAGACAACAAGGGTAGGTGAGTAGGTGAGTGGGTAGGTGAGTGGGTCAGTGGGTAGGTGAGTGGGTAGGTGAGTGGGTGAGTGGGTAGGTGAGTGGGTGAATGGGCAGGTAAGTAGGTAGGTGAGTAGGTGCGTGGGTAGGTGAGTGGGTAGGTGAGTGGGTGAGTGGGTAGGTGAGTGTGTAGGTGAGTGGGTGAGTGGGTAAGTGAGTAGGTGAGTGGGTGAGTGGGTAGGTGAGTGGGTGAGTGGGTAGGTGAGTGGGTGAGTGGGTAGGTGAGTGGGTGAGTGGGTAGGTGAGTGGGTAGGTGAGTGGGTAGGTGAGTGGGTGAGTAGGTAGGTGAGTGGGTAGATGAGTGGGTAGGTGAGTAGGTGAGTAAGGAGCCGAGTGCATGTTGCAGGCAGAGAAGACCTGGGTCTCATGCCTAAACACGCACACAAACAACAAGGGTAGGTCAGTGGGTGAGTGGGTAGGTGAGTGGGTAGGTGAGTGGGTGATTGGGTAGGTGAGTGGGTAGGTGAGTGGGTGAGTGGGTAGGTGAGTGGGTAGGTGAGTGGGTAGGTGAGTGGGTAGGTGAGTGGGTGAGTGGGTAGGTGAGTGGGTAGGTGAGTGGGTGAGTGGGTAGGTGAGTAGGTAGGTGAGTGGGTGAGTGGGTAGTTGAGTGGGTAGGTGAGTGGGTAGGTGAGTGGGTAGGTGAGTGGGTAGGTGAGTGGGTGATTGGGTAGGTGAGTGGGTAGGTGAGTAACGGAGCAGAGTGCATGGTGCAGCAGAGAAGACCTGGAGGTCTCATGCCTACACACACACAGACAACAAGGGTAGGTGAGTAGGTGAGTGGGTAGGTGAGTGGGTAGGTGAGTGGGTGAGTGGGTAGGTGAGTGGGTAGGTGAGTGGGTAGGTGAGTGGGTAGGTGAGTGGGTGAGTGGGTAGTTGAGTGGGTACGTGAGTGGGTAGGTGAATGGGTAGGTGAGTGAGTAGGTGAGTGGGTAGGTGAGTGGGTAGGTGAGTGGGTAGGTAAGTGAGTGAGTGGGTAGGTGAGTGGGTAGGTGAGTGGGTAGGTAAGTGGGTGAGTGGGTAGGTGAGTGGGTAGGTGAGTGGGTGAGTGGGTAGGTGAGTGGGTAGGTAAGTGGGTGAGTGGGTAGGTGAGTGGGTAGGTGAGTGGGTGAGTGGGTAGGTGAGTGGGTAGGTGAGTAGGTGAGTGGGTAGGTGAGTAGGTGAGTGGGTAGGTGAGTGGGTAGGTGAGTGGGTAGGTAAGTGGGTGAGTGGGTAGGTGAGTGGGTAGGTGAGTGGGTAGGTGAGTGGGTAGGTGAGTGGGTGATTGGGTAGGTGAGTGGGTAGGTGAGTAACGGAGCAGAGTGCATGGTGCAGCAGAGAAGACCTGGGGGTCTCATGCCTACACACACACACAGACAACAAGGGTAGGTGAGTGGATAGGTGAGTGGGTAGGTGAGTGGGTGAGTGGGTTGTTGAGTGGGTAGGTGAGTGGGTGAGTGGGTAGGTGAGTGGGTAGGTGAGTGGGTAGGTGAGTGAGTAGGTGAGTGGGTGAGTGGGTAGGTGAGTGGGTAAGTGAGTGGGTAGGTAAGTGGGTGAGTGGGTTGGTGAGTGGGTAGGTGAGTGGGTGAGTGGGTAGGTGAGTAGGTAGGTGAGTGGGTGAGTGGGTAGTTGAGTGGGTAGGTGAGTGGGTAGGTGAGTGGGTAGGTGAGTGGGTGATTGGGTAGGTGAGTGGGTAGGTGAGTAACGGAGCAGAGTGCATGGTGCAGCAGAGAATACCTGGGGGTCTCATGCCTACACACACACACAGACAACAAGGGTAGGTGAGTAGGTGAGTGGGTAGGTGAGTGGGTAGGTGAGTGGGTAGGTGAGTGGATGAGTGGGTTGTTGAGTGGGTAGGTGAGTGGTTAGGTGAGTGGGTAGGTGAGTGGGTGAGTGGGTAGGTGAGTCGGTAGGTGAGTGGGTAGGTGAGTGGGTAGGTGAGTGGGTAGGTGAGTGGGTAGGTGAGTGGGTAGGTGAATGGGTAGGTGAGTGAGTAGGTGAGTGGGTAGGTGAGTGGGTAGGTGAGTGGGTAGGTGAGTGGGTGAGTGGGTAGGTGAGTGGGTAGGTGAGTGGGTAGGTAAGTGGGTGAGTGGGTAGGTGAGTGGGTAGGTGAGTGGGTGAGTGGGTAGGTGAGTGGGTAGGTAAGTGGGTGCGTGGGTAGGTGAGTGGGTAGGTGAGTGGGTGAGTGGGTAGGTGAGTGGGTAGGTGAGTAGGTGGGTAGGTGAGTAGGTGAGTGGGTAGGTGAGTGGGTGGGTGAGTGGGTAGGTGAGTGGGTAGGTAAGTGGGTGAGTGGGTAGGTGAGTGAGTAGGTGAGTGGGTAGGTGAGTGGGTAGGTGAGTAGGTGAGTGGGTAGGTGAGTAGGTGAGTGGGTAGGTGAGTGGGTAGGTGAGTGGGTAGGTGAGTGGGTGAGTGGGTAGGTGAGTGGGTAGGTGAGTGGGTGAGTGGGTAGGTGAGTGGGTAGGTGAGTAGGTGAGTGGGTAGGTGAGTGGGTAGGTGATTCGGTGAGTGGGTAGGTGAGTGGGCTGAGTGAGTAGGTGAGTGGGTAGGTGAGTAACGGAGCCGAGTGCATGTTGCAGGCAGAGAAGACCTGGGGGTCTCATGCCTACACACACACACAGACAACAAGGATAGGTGAGTAGGTGAGTGGGTAGGTGAGTGGGTTGGTGAGTGGGTAGGTAAGTGGGTGAGTGGGTAGGTGAGTGGGTAGGTGAGGGGGTGAGTGGGTAGGTGAGTGGGTGAGTAGGTGAGTCGGTAGGTGAGTAATGGAGCCGAGTGCATGTTGCAGGCAGAGAAGACCTGGGGGTCTCATGCCTACACACACGCACACAGGCAACAAGGGTGGGCGAGCGGGTGGTGAGCGGCGGGCGACTCACGGCCACGGTGGTGGGGCGAGCTTGCCATCGAGGGAGCGTGCCATCGAGTGAGCGAGCCATCGAGTGAGCGAGCCATCGAGCGAGTGGGTGAGTGAGCGTGCCATCGAGGGAGCGAGTGAGCGAGCGTGCCATCGAGTGAGCGAGCCATCGAGTGAGCGAGCCATCGAGTGAGCGAGCCATCGAGTGAGCGAGCCATCGAGCGAGTGGGTGAGTGAGCGTGCCATCGAGGGAGCGAGTGAGCGAGCGTGCCATCGAGTGAGCGAGCCATAGAGGGAGCGTGCCATCGAGGGAGGGAGCCATCGAGGGAGTGAGCGAGCGAGTGGGCGAGCGACTCACGTCCATGGTGGAGTAGACCCACTCCATCATGGAGGAGACGCGAGAGTAGACCCCGGGCTGGTTCTTCCGCGCGCAGCCCTCCCCCCAGCTCGTGGCCCCCACCAGACGGAAAGTGGTGCCCCCATCCCCCTCCGAGCACACCAGGGGCCCCCCACTGTCACCCTACAAACGGACAAAGGGGGGTGGGTGGGGGGGGGGTAGGGCTTCAACAGGCTGCAGGTGCAAGTGCAGCGAGGAGGAGGAGGAGAGGGTGGAGGTAGAGTGAGGAGGAGGAGGTGTTGGTGGAGTGAGGAGGAGGAGGTGTTGGTGGAGTGAGGAGGAGGAGGTGTTGGTGGAGTGAGGAGGAGGAGGAAGAGGAGGAGGAGGTGTTGGTGGAGTGAGGAGGATGAGGAGGAGGTGTTGGTGGAGTGAGGAGGAGGAGGTGTTGGTGGAGTGAGGAGGAGGAGTGAGGAGGGGGAGGAGGAGGAAGAGGAGGAGGTGTTGGTGGAGTGAGGAGGATGAGGAGGATGAGGTGTTGGTGGAGTGAGGAGGATGAGGATGAGGAGGATGAGGTGTTGGTGGAGTGAGGAGGAGGTGTTGGTGGAGTGAGGAGGAGGATGAGGAGGATGAGGAGGAGGAGGTGTTGGTGGAGTGAAGAGGAGGTGTTGGTGGAGTGAGGATGAGGAGGATGAGGAGGAGTGAGGAGGTGTTGGTGGAGTGAGGAGGATGAGGAGGAGGATGAGGAGGATGAGGAGGAGGTGTTGGTGGAGTGAGGAGGATGAGGTGTTGGTGGAGTGAGGATGAGGTGTTGGTGGAGTGAGGAGGAGGAGGAGGTGTTGGTGGAGTGAGGAGGATGAGGAGGTGTTGGTGGAGTGAGGAGGATGAGGAGGTGTTGGTGGAGTGGCCGCACCTGGCAGGCGTCGATCTTCCCGGCGAGGAATCCGGCACACACCATGCGTGCCGTGACGGAGTTGTGGTACACCGTGGCTCTGTTGCACACGGACGTGGAGATGAGCGACACCTTGGCCTCCTGCAGCGACTCAGGGACGACAGAACCTGGCGGGGGGGGGGGGGGTGGTGGTGGGTCAAGGTGGACACAGCAAAGACAAAGGTCCCCCGTGTAGCCTCAATATAATTTCGGGGCCAGTGTCATCGGCGAGTAGCGACGATTACAGGCTGCCACGGTCCAGGAAAGGCGTGGTGTGGCTGGGCCACCATGCCCGGCCGCCTTTGTCTCCCCGGCGACGGGTGAAGGTGGACACAAAGGCATAGGTCCCCTGTGTGGCCTCAATGGACTTTCAGGGGAGGGCGTGGATGAGTGAGTGGGTAAGTGAGTGAAGTGAGTGAGTGGGTAAGTGAGTAAGTGGGTGAGTGAGTGAGTGAGTGGGTTAGTGGGTGAGTGAGTGAGTGAGTGGGTAAGTGAGTAAGTGAGTAGAGTGAGTGAGTGGGTGGGTGAGTGAGTAAGTGGGTGAGTGAGTGAGTGGGTGAGTGAGTGAGTGGATAAGTGGGTGGAGTGAGTGGGTTAGTGGGTGAGTGAATGAGTGAGTGGGTAAGTGAGTGGGGTAAGTGGGTGGGTGAGTGAGTGAGTGGGTGGGTGAGTGAGTGGGTGGGTGAGTGAGTGAGTGGAGTGAGTGAGTGGGTTAGTGAGTGGATAAGTGGGTGAGTGAGTGAGTGGGTGAGTGAGTAGGTAAGTGAGTGAGTGAGTGGGTCAGTCAGTGAGTGGGTGAGTGGATGAGTGAGTGGGTGAGTGGGTTAATGAGTATGAGTGATTGGGTGAGTAAGTGGATGAGTAAGTGAGTGGATAAGTGAGTGGGTGAGTGAGTGAGTCAGTGAGTGGGCGAGCGAGTGGGTGAGTGAGTGAGTGGTTGAGTGAGTGGGTGAGTAAGTGGGTGGGTGAGTGCGTAAGTGAGTCGGTGACTGAGTGGGTGGGTAAGTGATTAAGTGGGTGAGTAAGTGGGTGAGTGGGTGAGTGAGTGGGTGGGTGGGTGGGTAAGTGAGTGAGTGAGTGGGTGAGTGAGTGAGTGGGTGAGTAAGTGGGTGAGTGGGTGAGAAAGTGGGTGAGTGCTTGAGTGAGTGGGTGACTGAGTGGCGGGTGAGTGATTAAGTGGGTGGGTAAGTGGGTGAGTGGGTGAGTGAGTAAGTGGGTCGGTGAGTGAGTGGGTGAGTAAGTGAGTGGGTGGGTGAGTGGGTGGGTGAGTATGAGTGAGTTAGTGGGTGGGTGAGTGGGTGGGTGAGTATGAGTGAGTTAGTGGGTGAGTGAGTGAGTGAGTGGGTGAGTGAACGGGTGAGTAAGTGGGTGAGTGGGTGAGTGAGTGGGTGACTGAGTGGGTGGGTGAGTGTTCAAGTGGGTGAGTAAGTGGGTGAGTGAGTGAGTGGGTGGGTGGGTGTGTGGGTGAGTGAGTGAGTGAGTGCGTAAGTGAGTGGATGAGTGGGTAGGTGAGTGAGTGGGTGACTGAGTGAGTGACTTACTGCTCTCAGAGGTTACCCCCCACCCCGTGATCCAGCAGGTTTGTCCGTCAGGGAACGACTGGGAATATTCCGGGAGACAAACCGGGCGGATTGAATCTGTGGGCAAGATCACCATCATCATCAGCACCAGTATCATCATCATCAGCAACAGCATGATCATTGTGATGACGATGTTAATACTACCGCCATCACCACCATAGTCACCACCACCACCACTACCACCACCAACACCACTACCACCACCGCCACCTCCACCACTACCACCACATCCACCAATACCACCACCAATACCACCACCACCACCGCCACCACCAACACCACTACCACCGCCACCACCTCCACCACTACTACCACCACCACCTCCACCACCACCACCGCCATCACTACCATCACCAACACCACTACCACCACCATCTCCACCACTACCACCTCCACCACCTCCACCACCTCCACCACCACCACCACCCCCACCACCGCCACCACCACCTCCACCACCACCGCCATCACTACCATCACCAACACCGCTACCACCGCCACCACCATCGACACCACTACCACCTCCACCACCTCCACCACCTCCACCACCACCACCACCCCCACCACCTCCACCACCTCCAACACCACCACCGCCATCACTACCATCACCAACACCACTACCACCTCCACCACCATCTCCACCACCTCCACCACCACCACCACCACCACTAACCACCATCCACCACACCACCACTAACACCACCTCCACCACCACCACCACCTCCACCACCACCACCACCACCATCGCCACCACCTCCACCACCACCACCACCACCACCGCCACCACCACCTCCACCACCACCACCGCCATCACTACCATCACCAACACCGCTACCACCGCCACCACCACCACCATCACCACCACTACCACCACCACCATCACCACCACCACCTACACCACCACCACCACCTCCACCACTACCACGTGCCCCCCCCACCCCCCCACCCACCGCCGTCGACGCTGAGCGTGCTGCTGAGCTTCATGAGTGCGAGGTCGTAGTCGCTGGTGTCGGCGTCGTACTGCGGGTGCCGCGTGATTGAGGCCACGTAGGCGCTCGGCGTGGCGCTTGGCTTCTGCCTGACGGTGCCGGCCAGCACCGTCCAGCGCCGCGGGTCGCTGTAGCTGTGTGCCAGGATCACAACGAAAGAAGTGAGATTTTTTTATTTTTTTTAAAAACCGCTTTTTTTAAAATTTAATGTACCGTACTAGTAGTGTGAGAACTCCATGACTCCATTGAGTGGGGCCCGAAGATCACCACGACGTGGTGGTGGTGGTGGTGATTTACCGGCGAACGTTTGAGTTGAGGGTGGACAATTACAGCCAAGGCGAAACATCTAAGATGTAACAAAAATAATGTTTACAAATGTATTTTTTTTTAGTTTTTTTTATGATATAATATAGTGTTGTCATCAGTATGACACAAGTATAGCAAAGTTTTCAGTCGATGGCACATTGGGAAGTGGGTTACAATTGAGTTACAAGATTTGACAAACAGAGTAAGTTAAATGTAAAATAACAGAACCGGCTTTACAACCCGGCTTCGCCCATGAACTTGGATTCACCACGCCCGGCCGCCTTTGTCTCCCCAGTGGCAATGTTCACACAGCACAGCAGTTACTCGTTTGAGGCTGAGTCGACCTAGGGCAGGCCCAGAAGCGGTTCAGATAATCGTCACCGGTTGTGGCCGTGAGCGGGAATTGAACTCGGGTAGCCGGGTTCATAGTGCGGCGTAGCGCTAACCACTACACTACCGCTCCCCCCCACACACATTCAGACACACACACACAGACACACACACAGACACACATTCAGACACACACACACACAGACACACACACAGACACACACAGACACACACACACACAGACATACACACACACACAGACACACAGACACACACACAGACACACACACACAGACACACACACACACACAGACACACACACACACACAGACACACACACACACACAGACACACACACACACACACAGACACACACACACACACACAGACACACACACACACACAGACACACACACACACACACAGACACACACACACACACACACACAGACACACACACACACACACACAGACACACACACACACACAGACACACACACACACAGACACACACACACACACACACAGACACACACACACACACACAGACACACACACACACACACAGACACACACACACACACACACAGACACACACACACACACACACAGACACACACACACACACACAGACACACACACACACACACAGACACACACACACACAGACACACACACACACAGACACACACACACACACACACAGACACACACACACACACACACAGACACACACACACACACACACAGACACACACACACACACACACAGACACACACACACACACACACAGACACACACACACACACAGACACACACACACACACACAGACACACACACACACACACACAGACACACACACACACACAGACACACACACACACACACACAGACACACACACACACACACAGACACACACACACACACAGACACACACACACACACACACAGACACACACACACACACAGACACACACACACACACACACAGACACACACACACACACACAGACACACACACACACACACAGACACACACACACACACACACAGACACACACACCACAGACACACACACACACACAGACACACACACACACACACACAGACACACACACACACACACAGACACACACACACACAGACACACACACACACACACACAGACACACACACACACACAGACACACACACACACACAGACACACACACACACACAGACACACACACACACACAGACACACACACAGACACACACACACACACAGACACACACACACACACACAGACACACACACACACACAGACACACACACACAGACACACACACACACACAGACACACACACACACAGACACACACACACACACAGACACACACACACACACACAGACACACACACACACACACAGACACACACACACACACAGACACACACACACACACAGACACACACACAGACACACACACACACACAGACACACACACACACACAGACACACACACACACACAGACACACACACACACACAGACACACACACACACACAGACACACACACACACAGACACACACACACACACAGACACACACACACACACAGACACACACACACACACAGACACACACACACACAGACACACACAGACACACACACACACACACAGACACACACACACACACAGACACACACACCACAGACACACACACACACACAGACACACACACACACACAGACACACACACACACACAGACACACACACACACACAGACACACACACACACACAGACACACACACACACACAGACACACACACACACACAGACACACACACACACACAGACACACACACACACACAGACACACACACACACACAGACACACACACACACACAGACACACACACACACACAGACACACACACACACACAGACACACACACACACACAGACACACACACACACACAGACACACACACACACACAGACACACACACACACACAGACACACACACACACACAGACACACACACACACACACAGACACACACACACACAGACACACACACACACACAGACACACACACACACAGACACACACACACACACAGACACACACACACACACAGACACACACACACACACAGACACACACACACACACAGACACACACACACACACAGACACACACACACACACAGACACACACACACACACAGACACACACACACACCAGACACACACACACACACAGACACACACACACACACAGACACACACACACACACAGACACACACACACACAGACACACACACACACACAGACACACACACACACAGACACACACACACACAGACACACACACACACACAGACACACACACACACAGACACACACACACACACAGACACACACACACACACAGACACACACACACACACAGACACAACACACACACACAGACACACACACACACACAGACACACACACACACACAGACACACACACACACACAGACACACACACACACACAGACACACACACACACAGACACACACACACACAGACCACACACACACACACAGACACACACACACACACAGACACACACACACACACAGACACACACACACACACAGACACACACACACACACAGGACACACACACACACACAGACACACACACACACACAGACACACACACACACACAGACACACACACACACACAGACACACACACACACACAGACACACACACACACACACAGACACACACACACACACACAGACACACACACACACAGACACACACACACACACAGACACACACACACACACAGACACACACACACACACAGACACACACACACACACAGACACACACACACACACAGACACACACACACACACAGACACACACACACACACAGACACACACACAAACACAGACACACACACACACACACACACACACACACACAGACACACACACACACACAGACACACACACACACACAGACACACACACACACACAGACACACACACACACACAGACACACACACACACACAGACACACACACACACACAGACACACACACACACACAGACACACACACACACACAGACACACACACACCACACAGACACACACACACACACAGACACACACACACACACAGCACACACACACACACAGACACACACACACACACAGACACACACACACACACAGACACACACACACACACAGACACACACACACACACAGACACACACACACACAGACACACACACACACACAGACACACACACACACACAGACACACACACACACACAGACACACACACACACACAGACACACACACACACACAGACACACACACACACAGACACACACACACACACAGACACACACACACACACAGACACACACACACACACAGACACACACACACACACAGACACACACACACACACAGACACACACACACACACAGACACACACACACACACAGACACACACACACACACAGACACACACACACACAGACACACACACACACACAGACACACACACACACACACAGACACA